AAAGGGACCTGGGAGTGTGGAGAGACAGAAAGCTGAACATGAGCCAGCAGTGTGCTCAGGGGGCCAAGAAGTCCAATGGCATCCTGGGCTGGATCAGGAACAGTGTGGTCAGCAGGACCAGGGAGGTGATTCTGCCCCTGGACTCAGATAGGTTATGGAGTTTCCATACTTGAAGATATCTGAACACCACCTGGACATAGTCCTGGACAACCTACTCTAGGTGGCCCCGTTTGAGCAAGGGAGCTGGGCTAAGTGACCTTCAGATGCCTCTGCCAAACTCAGTCATTCTGTGGTTCTATGACAATTCTGGGAAATAATACAGATTATAGATGCGTCCAGCTGGAGAAGGCTTTCGACCCTTAAGATGTTATGATGGGCACACAGTGGTGACAGTATCCCTATTTACGCTGATCTAACCTGATTTGTCAATAACCATTTCATTGAGTAGTTACAGACATATTTCAGGAGCACTATATATAGTCAAATGCCCATTAGAGTAAGCACATTACATCTTACTTTTATCAAGGGGATACAGGCAGTGAGGCTAAAAAGTCATGTAATGATTTTCAAGTCTAGGCCATAGCTGTTCTTTAAGAGATGCTGTGCTTCTACAGCACTATGTTGCTTTATGTGTACTATCTTGTCATGATTCTTTCATGAACTTTGCATCTATCCACTAGGCTCTTCAACAGAGCAAAGCCCTAGATGTAAATGCATACAAAAGCATTAACTCTTTCCTCACAGAATGATTCTACAGAAAATAGCCTACAGAGTCTTAAAAGATCAAATTAAAATATCTTTCAAATCAACCATAAAGCACACTTAACCATGGAAACAACCAGAAATACTGAACAGTTGCCTTAATCTATTGATTTATTCAAAGCAAAATTGTATGATGGAAAGAAAGCCCCAGAGCCTTTCTAATTTTTAATACTTTTTTTTATGTAGTCAAATAAAACCATCTAAAATGGAGAAGCAATGAGATGAGAGAAAACCCAAAAGCTTACTTGTTTTTCATACCACCTCAAAATATGTATATGGCAGCAATTATCAGAACTTTGATAGCTGAAGAAGCATATGCTATGCAACTCCTTCCATCCAGAATTACTGCATTTGCTTTTGCTTACTATAACCAGAATGCATATAGAAACAGGAAAGAAATGACAAGGTACTTTGTCAGGAAGGCTTTTTAAACTTAAGCTTGTATATCATCTTTTCCAACATAAAACCAGACAATGAGAGTTTCCTTTGAAAAACAGAGAGTAATACTGGTGTACCCATGAACAAAAATTTGGGGAGCATGTTGTTGACCCCACCATGGTGCTATTAGGTCATAGGTTGGACTTGATGATCTCAGAGGTCTTTTCCAACCTGACTGATCCTGTGATTCTGTGATGCCTGTACCAGGGGAGCTTCCAGGACTTAAAGGGCTGTATCAAGTGTTCTGTCCTCACTAACTCGTGTGTTAGCTGGTCCACATCTATGTTGTCAAACCCATGGGACAAGCACATAGCCAGATCTGATCCTGGCTCCACATGACGATGAGAGTTGGTGTCTCCACTCTTGGGAGTCTGCTCAAAGGAAATTTGTGTGCCTGCACAGTGTGGGAGAGATGGGTCTCCTTGGTGGTCCCTCAGAAGGAACAGCAGGAAGAAGAGGGATGGAGTGCTCCCCAGAGAATATCACTCCTTGTGCAAGACAGCTTCTGAGACTTGCTACTCTATCATCTATAAAGGGAAGTCATGAGTTTTTTACAGTACCAGATTTGTACTATTGTTACCCCAAATTTCCCATGAAATTTAATCTAATAAATATTTACTAATGCTTGTATCAATTTCTAACTATCATTTAAAAAGAAAGGCATATAAATTTCATAATTGAATGCAGTAACTGCATTGATCTCAATTTTAAATTACAGTGTTGTTGTAACTGTATGTCCTATAAAAGACTGCAAGCAAACTCTTTCACCACTGTATCAAAATAATGTCAATTCTTAAGCAATGAAATTCCATTTAATGCAGAACTTTATAGCCAGAAATTAACCTATCAAATTCTGCTAAGAATTCTAACATAAATAAATCAGTAGAAAGTGTGGATCTTGGAGCATCAGCATACTATGGTCCTGGGGGATGCATCAGTTAAGACATCATCTGTCATGCTCTTCCCATAGCAAAACAAAATAACACAAGAAAGAATGACTATGTTTTCACTTAGTGCCCTATCAACCAGCTTAGAGCATGTCCACATAAATATTAATCATTCATTCGTAGCAATTCACACACACATCTAGATTACTTAATCCAATCTATGCACAAGTCACAGTTTGTAATAACAGACTGCTTTACATCAGGACAGCCCCATATGAAATAGCATTAAAATCTTCACCCCATTCTTTTCTGTATAATTATTCTTTCAATTGTAAGGAAAACATGACTAAACAATGATGTGACATAACACTAGCACAAGAGATTGGAAGAATTTCACCAGGCATGGACAGTATGTAGTGTGTTTTACAGGGATACAAATCCTACACTATGCCTTGATGGCCACACTAAATCCTGCCTTGCAAGACACAGGCAAATCAAGATGCTGAAGCAGAGGTTCTGCAGCACCTAGCACCCAGGTGCTACATGCTGCTCTCGAGGGCCATAGGAGGTCCAGCTGAGGATTCTGCAGTATGAACACAAAGAAGCTTTCTGGCTGTCTCCTACTTGGTGTCCATCAATTCCACCTTCAGTCTCATTCTCTTACCCATTCTAACTAGTTGCCTCCCCCTTCTGCCTGCTGCTGATGGCCTCATCCTGACTTAGAAGCTAAAAGTGCTGCAGAGAACAGAGACACGAAGAAGGAGTCGACATCCCTTGCCCCATGCAGGTGCTCCTGTGATACCTGCTGCCCTGCTGAAGCAATTGTTTCTAATTAGTCAAGTAGTCTCGAGATACTGGACTGACAGAGAGGAGGTAGAATATCTGAAACCTTTATACATCCCACAGACACACCACAACCTTACCTACATACTCAAGCATGTAAACACCATAGTCTTTGCTGTTCCTCATACCCCAGCGTGACAGGCCCAGAGCAGTGAGGACCTCAGGCAAAACTTGTAAGTCTGAAAAATTAAGTTTGAGTTAAAATGAAGTCCTTTGCCTGAAGCAGTCAAAGCTTCCATGTGGGCCATGAAAAAGGCTCCTGACTTCAAAGGCATTGATTATTTCAGATTTCAGAGACAAGCTATCAGCCAGCCTTTTGAGTAATGTCAAATGAATGGCTGCAATGCTGAAAACTGCTTTGTAAGTAGAAAAAATCCACAACCAAATAATCTTCTGCCAAAACCCCAAAGTCCTCCTTCCCTCTTCAATAAAATCACTCTCCTGCCTGTAAAGGGAATAGATTTTCAGGATGCACTAGTTTGTCAGCAGTGTTACTTGCTATTTTGGAAATTTATGCTAATCTGCAACTTTGGCAACCCCTCACTTGCCACAAACACTTTGGTTTGCTGAATTTTGTAGGGGTAGGAAAAACCTCAGGAAGACAGTGGAGACCAGGTGAAACAACTCAATGCAGTCCCAACCACAGACAGGGAGAGATTTGCTAGCGATGCTCATTGCCAAATCCTCCACAATTCACAGTTTGAAATGACACATAATACGAGTGGAAGGCAAAACACAGAGCTGAGGCATTGTAGCATGAGGTTTGATACTAGTTGCTGACTTTGGAACTACAATTTTACATTTCTTGAAGGCACAGCACTTGCTGAGGTACAAAAAATGAGGTGTGTGTAGCTTTAGACTATGTCTGCACACACCTAGAGAGATCAATCTTTCAGACGAAGCGAGCAGAAAATCCTCTCTGCTGCAGATAGCCATTCAAAGTTCTTTAAAGACTTTTATTAAAGGTTTCCTAAAGGGTTTCACCAGTACCTAGAGGCAAATTGTCTTCTTCCTGCTGCAAAGAGTAATAATTCATTGTCTGGATAAAAAAATCCCACATGTGGCTGCATTTCAGCATGCTGTTAATGTCATTTCTATAATGCTTTGTGAGACTATCTGTGTGAAGGAAAACAATTATGATCCTGTCTCCGTGAGTGAGAGTGCATGTCCTTATCTAATAAGGAAGGAAGGAAGAGACAGCCTGTGCAGAGGTTGGCCTGATAAAGGTTACTTCTGTTCACTTGCAAATCCCAGACTGCTTTCAAAATGAGAATTATGTGGTGGAGCATCACAGACTGAACTAATCTTGTTTTCTGTTACACTGCTTATTTGAGCTCCTGTGCCCTTACCCTAATAAAAATTTGCTGGTAAAGAACAAATAAGGCAACCATCAGACATAAAGGCCATAAAGCATCACCAGTTCAGAGCCAAAAGTGGAAAGGCTTGGAGGAAACCCTCTATTTTTAAAACACAAAGACCTTAATAAAAACTAAACACAATGCAGATGCAATCCTCATGAGCAGCTTTAAGATGAAGAAATGCAGTGTGCACCAGGGGCTCATGGGAGGCTGAGGGATTCTTTGGAGGGACTAGAAGACTATGCCACTGAAAAAAAAAGATGTAGTATTTTATGCATATTTTAAATCCAGGGGAGAAAGACATATATTGTCAAATGATGTTCAAAAGCTTGTAGAGCTCCAGTGTTTCTGCCACACTGCAGCCCAATGAAACAAAAACTGAGGGGAAGCAAAGCTCATTTTATCTCAGGCCCTGAAACACTAGGAAAGATGTCAAGGTGTATTTCCTTTGGAATAGAATTCTTCCTTCAAAGGAAAACATGACTGAGACAATTTTACTGTCTTGAAAGAGATATACCTCTCTGGCTACTGTTAAAGCTTTAATAACATTTCAGGATTTAATAAAAAGAGCTCCTGAAAAACACTTTCTGCCCTGTATGAAGCATCCATTAAAAAAAACCCCAAGTGTCCTGGAGCAGACACCTCCAGATTTCCTATGACAACACACAGACACGTTCTCCCAACCACACTGTCAGAGCAGCGTCGGGAAGAGCACAGAAATGCTTTCTGGAAGCACACATAGCATTAAATCTAAGGCTAGGAAATAGCATTTTGAGTGAGAAATTAATTTTTACATGCTTTCATGTCACACCCTGCTACAAATTCTATCTATGATAAGAAGGCCATAAAGATCTATGTGGGATCTCTTTGTTCATACGCTCACAGCATGTGACTGAGCATAACTATGAATGCGCTTGGAGGATAAAAATGTTATTTTATGATAAAAACTGATTAGCTCCCCTGACTGCATCGGAGTAGAATAATAATAATTTTCATGGTGTCCATCAAATGGAAAAAAACATTGACCTAAAAAATCTAAAGAAAAAGAAATCAAAACCGTTTTTTTAAATCTTTTCATATGGGACATAGTAAATTTCTGTTTGAACTAGAACTTGACATGTTGATACTCCCATGTCATCTACTCCAATGGCACATTCTATGACATAGAGTTTGCAATATGCATCATATCACACATACAATTTTGCAGCCCTCCAGCTCCAGACAAGATTAACAAAAGTGGCAGCTCTGAAGGAAGAGATGTTGTATCAGACACATTATTTGCTAATGTTTGGGAAATGTAAGCAAATTTGGAGAGAGGGACACTATTCTTAAAGAACAGAGCCCATAAGTCAAGGGATGAGGATTGGATAAAAAATTTCTGGGGAGTGTTGACAATAAAGTCTTTTCAGTAGTATTCATCAGGGAGAAAAGAAGAAATGAAACATGCTGCTTGTTCCAGCACTACAATAACCACGGAGCCACTGACTGCTGCTTCTGGAATAAATAGTTTGGATGGACTTGAAAAAAACCTGGGATTTCAGCTTTTAGTTACATCTGATGTCTCAAGCCTAAAGAGCCAAAATGCCACATTAATGCCTGTTTCCAGGTCTTTGCTGAATATCAGGAAGCATTCTGGGAATAAAACTGGGCAATGCTGTGTGGCTGCTGGGTATTCAGGCAATCCAGCCCCAAAGTTGGGTCAGACAGGTCTCCTGAAGTCCTGAGGGTATTCTAGGTATTCTGTCAACACAAAGGTGGTATATAGGAGGAAAGAGCAAGGCAAGACAGACCTTCAGCTAATAATGAACTAGAAAAGCATCCTGTCAAAATCTTAAAAAAATAACAGTCAAGCTACAAAGAAAAGGGAATGTACACAAAATCTGTGTGCTGGTAAAGCAAAAGCCTTTGCTTCCATATGGATATAGATGTCTGCAGAGTAATCTGTAAGCCAAAAGGCTATCTGGTTGCAAAAGTTACTGCTCAGTTTTAAAATGCCAGGGACAATATTTTGCACAGAGGTGTGAAAAGCTCTTTATGAAAATGCAGAACAGTATTAAAGCTGCTAATACAAATTTTTCATATTAAAAATGTGATCCTAATCTGACTCCCTGAAATAGCTTCTCCTGTATGAGCTTATTATTCTGTAAACCTATAGTTGTTGGTCTATTTGTTAGTTCACATCTCTCCCTTCCAAAAAGCAACCCAAAAGATGTCCACTGCCAGAATGTACTGAAGCTTGTAGAAAAGAGAACAAATAATGGAAAAGTATAAAAGAACAGTCTAGGCCATCGTGTGATGACACAAATGACATCTTCCCACGGATGACAGAAGCAATCCACTGCCATTTGACCAAGCAGAGGTATTCCTTCTGGGACTACTCTGAACATGATTTTCATCTCATTGTTTCCACTCCAGTTGCCCTTCCATATAAACAAATGCAAAAATATTTGCAATAGTCTATGCTGTGAGATTGCATAGTTTTATTTATAGATTATAGAACATGTTGCTTTTTTAACTGACATCTCTGTTATTGTTTTATTAATTTGATATTTAAACATTGTGGCAAAAGATAAACAGCCTGAGTCTGTATATATTTCTTTATATAAATATATATATATGCATGTGTAAGTGTATATTTATGTATCCATATATACACACATATTTTTTAAAAAAACAAACACCCAGGAGATTCAGCCAAATTAGGGTAAGTTATTCATTTGACATAGAGTATTTACTTGGACAGCTAGACTTTATAGTTTACTGGATGGATGTGGTATCAAATGTTCCAAAACAACTCAGATTTACACCTATCCATGTACTATAAGATGCCATTAAACATTGGAAAATAGTAACAGGGAAAGATGCATTAGAATTTTTAACCCTCAAAGCAATCTTGCTTCTTTTTTTATCATAGAATGAAAGCAGATTTACCCATTTGAGCACTCTGAAAGGTCTTAAAATGCACATGTTCTGCTCACCTTATTTTGTCAACGCATATAAAATCTCTAGTTTATATAGTAATAATGCACTGTGTTATGCAACTGCCCCAACCTCTCTTAAGGCACTGCACGTGGATGTGAAAGCATGATGACAGCCCAGTGCAAATAGTATTTCTACTAAAATCATCATCCTTGTTCTATAGTCATGTCCACCTCTCAGCGCTCTCAAATACAGCATTTTACAAATGAAATAGCTTAACCTTACTCCCCAAAGCAGGTAGGGTGGCTGAGGCCCCATCCTCTCCCCTTGCATGGACTTTCTCGCTCACCTGCATCTTCCCTCTGGTCTTAGCCAGTTTAAGCTAGGGCATCTCCTGCCTCCACTTTCCCTTGATTCCCAGTGTTCTTCCTTCTGCTTAGCTACTCTCATGCCTGCTCAGCTGGATCATGGCCTTTTCTTGTCTGATCCACTCACTCCATCTCTCTTTCCTCCTTCACCAGTTCATCAAAGCCCATCTTCCCTCCATCTTCTACCTCTTCTCTCCCTGACAGTTTCTGGTTTGACTGTGGCAGGAACCCACCATGGATATTGGTCAGGGCATGTGTGACAGAAACAGAGAAATGAGGAACCCACCATGGATATTGGTCAGGGTATGTGTGACCAAAACAGAGAAATTATAAGATCAACTCAGTTTCTCAGAGGTGAGGAAGGTTCAAACATGTTCAGCTAGGAAAGAACCTCCAGATATTTTGATCTGTTAAATTGCTGCGTGTGATGTGCAAACTGCAAAGCCTTTGTGAGGGCTAAAAATCTTGTTTTCATGGCTTTCATATGAAAGGCAGGGTACCTGCTCATGAAACAGAGATCTGAGCTTCTGCTCCAGGGTGCTGTAACACTGGAGCATTTCACAGAAAAGCCCTTGACAATTGAAAAATTGTAACTGTGAGTAAAGCAATACTTTACCCAAGCCCTTCCTTGGAAACATCTCAACATTTTCCAAAAGAATTTACTACAAAAAAGAAAGCTTTGTAAGGATTAAAGAACACTGTGTGGACAAGCCCAGACCAAACAATTAAAGTAAGCCATTAGTGCTAGCTAATAAAAAAGTGATTATACAAGGGGGTATCTGGGAGCGGCCAGACATGGTAAATTAAGGGGATATGACAAAAAGAACTTGTAATGAATAAATACAATTTGCTGTATTTTCAGCCTTCAAGGCATACACTGTCAGAAAAAAAAGCAAGTTCAGCAGCATCAGTGTAAGTGTCCCAGCTGTGGCCTACACCACTGAGCCCACTCCCCTCACTGCCCCCAGGCTCTCTGTCCAGCTGGAACTGCTCTATCTGTCTTCCAACACTTCCCTAGGATAGATGGTTGAATCTCTGAACCAACACTGGAAGTGAGAAGCTTTTGATTAGCAGTGATCAGTTTTCTCTATGAGTGTTATGTTCTGTGGCAAGAATTCCTGAACTTGATTTGTTCAAGTGTCACCCTTGGCAGAGATGGCTGTGGTGACAGAAACTTCAGGATACATATGCACATATAGACACAGGAGAAGGCATTTCCATAACTGCTTTGAAGTAGCACATGCAGTGCAGAAGGCATTGTAACACAGCTTGGGTTGCAGGGACAGGTGGAAAATCAGCAGTTGTTGTCAATGATTCTTTTTCAGTGGCCAACACCAGAATGCTTTGAAAGGCTACAAAGATAATCCATCTCAGGCTGGTAGAGCTGTTCTCTTGGAAAATTTTCCTCTCCTTTTCCAGGCAGTCCTGCATTTGCTGAAACTGCAAGCACATCTTCAGATTTTCCATCATAGAAACATCACACAGCACTGTCTTTGTATCCTCAGATTCAGAGTTAGCTAACCACAAAAATGTACTCCAAAGCAACGTTCAGTTGTGATTTATTCTGATGTCTAGTTTTAAAATGCAGTATAGGGAAGAAACTCAGTTCCCTACCTTTCTTGTAAGTGGCACTTCAATAGGGACGGGGACAACTTCCGCAAGCAGACAGCCATAAAATGCCACCATGAAAGCAGCAGGATCATTGTTAGGAAACACAAGTGTTACCTGAAAGAGAGAGATGTATGTTAAAAATGTTCTATCTCAGGTGTCAGATAATGATAATTGGAGTTTCCAGGCTTCCTTTTGGATAGAGATGACTACTGGAGCACTTCTAAGATACCTGTTCAAATGCCTGATGACAGATGAATGAGGAATCAGAAGGAATTTATTCTGAAAAATAATCTTTTTATGAACATTTTAACTTAGGATGCAGTTAAATATTTTCATGCTGTATTGTTTCCTATGTTGACAATACCTTTCATCTGGTTCGCAATTAGCTGATTTACTGAGATTAGATAACCAAGTAAACAGAATTAATAGAATTTTAGATTCTGATGTAGTAATTTGCTTGAAGTTACCAAAGCTGAAGTGGACATGTGACCAAGTCAGACTACCCAGACTTAAAATGATGTCAGTCATTAACACGTTGTTTGGTTTCACTGTGCTTTGCCTCGTACAAGACTTTGGGTTTAGGCCTGGACTGTTGCGTCAGTGCAGGAGTCTCTGTGTACTGTGCACAAACAAATTATTGCTATCTAGAAGCAAACGTCGCATCCAGAGTTGGCCATATCACATGGCAGCCTAGGCATGGATTTGTTGAACTTTACAGCTTCAGGGCTAGCATTCAGGAATTATTTAGATAAAGGAATCCCAGCAAATCATAGCAAATCACTGGTATGCTCACTAGGTGCCCTCCTTCCCCTGGTGTGCAGAGCTGTGCAGTTTGCTACTACAGGCACTGCAGACAATGAGATCCTCCATGGGAAAAGGGGAAGGAGAGGTGAGGGTACCTGGTCTCACTGGGGATCCAGCAGTTCAGAGAGTCCGTGGCTCTCCTTGCCAGGGCTCTCACTTGCTGGTGAATAATCCCAGTGGCTGGATACTGTCTGTGGTCCTGTTCTGGTTGTCAGATGGATGTTCTCAGCTCATGTCTTACACAGCTGTAACACAGCTGCTAACTATCCTGCACGGTCAGCTGAAGTGGCATGCAAAAGGCAATACGAATGATTTCAAACTTCATTCCTTTGGGCTCACACACAGGATTACAGCATCTCGAAATTTTCTGAAACTACTTAAGAGCTTTTGAGTTTTGACTGCTTTCACATCCATAGGAATTTTGTTGAAGTAAAATGGGGATGTTTTCATATATGCTCCAAGGTTCAGTTACTGGGGATTGTGTTTCCAGAATTTTCACACGGCTTCAAAGATAGTCACCTTCCATACATTAACTTGATTTCTTCCAACTAGAAGAAATCTAACCAACATTGTCCAAGTGGGTCCAAAATATCTCTGGTTTTTAGCTGAAGACCATAACTTCATAACTCTCTAGAGTCAGAGCAAATACATCACCACTTTATCTGCACACTTGCACATTAAACCATCCAAGTGCTGGAGATGGCTGTGCAGTTTACTGTATGCATTCTACAGGCACATACCATAAATAGCCTCGGGGAAATGGAAATACAGGGATTTTGCCAGGTGCTTGGAGGGGATGGTAGGGTTTGCTGAGTCCAGCAAACATCTGAAAGATCTCAAAAGATACTTCTAGGTTTGTTGGGTTTTGCATTGGTCTGTGCTTATACAAAGGCATTTAAGGTTTGGCTGGGAATCTTTGCAAAGGAGCTGACAGAGGTGAAAAAGATCTCACTGAAGTCCAGTGGGAATGAGGTACTAACTTCCTCTCCAAAAAACATTAATCACTAACAACTTGTACCAAATAAATAAATAATGTGTGTAAAAGCAAAAAAGGATCAGGCTGAAGGAAAACAAATCACACAGTGTATATTAACAGATGAGAATCTGGTTATCTAGGAGATATTTCAGAGGGCAAGCTTAACTTCCAGGCAGCTGTCTGGGGTGATGCAAGGTTAAATTTCTTGAGTTACTATAGAAGGCACATGCAGTTTGCCATGTATAATAATACCAGAAACAGAGAATGAAATGCAGGCACAGTAATTTATGTTTTGGCACGGGCAAAGAACCTAAGAGGTGAGGTAATGGTAGTCATGAAAAATAGTGATTGTATTGAGAGAAGATGTTTCTAAGGGGAAAATATAAAATATTTTATATAATATTAACATCAGGAAATTATTACCTTTTCATTTAAAAAACACCAGAAATATATGCCTGTATTTCATTTAGCATTTAAAACTACCTTGAACTGTTGTCACATAAAATACATTACGCAGGATAAAAAGTCACCTTCAAAGAGGTCAGAAAGCTTTTATATTGTTACAACAGCAGCATGACAGCCAGAATCACAGCCCAGAGCATCAGAAGTGCAGTAACACCTCATCTTCAATGTGAACTTGCTTCAAATGATCACATTCCTGTTACACAGGGATGCTGGGCAAGATGTTTTTACAACACAAAGCATATGCTTTCAGCACGCTGCTATAAACATTTGTTTCACTTTAATCTAGGCAGACTTCTTTTAGAAGAGCTGCAATTTGTTCTTTACATGTCCTGTTCTAGCTAAACTTCCATCTTTCCCTGAATTATCCACAAATCCTTTCTTACTGTTAGGAGATGGCAGTGACTGCTGCAGCGAATGACTAGAGACAGGCAGGCAGCACACACCAGATGAGAAGAGATGTGCACTGCCCATATGTGAACTTGATTCCTTTTGGAGCTTTCTGAGTGGACTGTTTTGATGTGTACACTTGAACAATTCACTACTTCTGCTGTTGCTTAGAGACACACTTGTAAGTCAGGTAAAAGAGATTCTTCAGATCCTACTCCTGGCTGAATGCTATTCTAGGAAGAAATTTAGATTAAGGATCTGCAGATCCTTAATTTCTTTATGATTTATTTCAAAAAGAAACACAGGAAGGACTGTCACCTTTCTCTTTATTTTTTGTCTTTTCTGTCCTCCTTTTTTCCTTCTGAGAAGCACTGCATGGTCTCACTTTTGAAGTCCTAAGACATGTGTAATGCAGACAGACATGTTTCTCATGTGTGGCACAAGAGGATCAAGTGAACCAACAGTTTGAGAATTGCTAGCAGACCTTGGGGGGTGAAGACTTAATCCCACATTCAGAGGTCTAAGCACTAAGGCAGGACTAAAATTCGCATTTCTGACAAATCTGTTCTGTAATATCCATTCCATGGCTTAATGCCAAACTAGAATGGGACCTGTGGAATTTTCTATACACACTCTGGCAGAGAAAATGGGCAGCAGGCTTGGCCAGCCTTGGCAGATAAAGGGGTAGCTTTGTAAGTACATTGTTAGCAAAACCAGAGGATGTTCTTGTCTTCATTTAACATCTTCAAGTGCTACCTCTGCAACTCTTGCTCTCTGTGGGCTTTATCCATTCACTTAGAATCAGCCTCTAGCAGTAGTTGCATCAGAGTCAGGAATGAGGAATGGAAATATTCTCCATGATACCAGTCAGCATAATTTATTTATTTGTCTGCCAAAACGTGCTCATTTTGCTTGTCTTTTTCCTCCCCAATGCTTCTCTTGTTTCTACCATCTCAACAACTACAAAGTCATTAGTAAGTAAGTTTTTTATCCACATGACAACTCCAAGCTTCATGGGTAAGCTTTTGCTAAACAGACTGTTGTTCTACGTCCAAAAATCACTTTCTGTGGGAATGTGTATTGTTGATGTTACTACAACTTCAAGTTACTATTCAGCAAGTACTAGCTCAGGTTACTTATTATGCAGTTCAAAACAACTGTATGAATGATCAGTCTTCTTCCAAGTAAAAGGCAGATTTTCACCCTCCCA